TTATTGTTCACTCCCTTGAAGGGTACGTGAATGGAAGGCAACAGGTCTTCCATCCTGATTAAGTGTGGCGGATATGGCAAAATCAGAAGCATCAGTCTCCACAGTAAAAGGTATGTTCTCATCAATGGTTTGCATGGAAGATTGAACAAGTTCATTTTTTAATGTTTCAAATGCTGATATTTGCTGCTGATTGAGTGGAAATTGAGTAACAGAGTTTAAAGGTCTAATTTTATCTGAAAACTTTCTTATCCATTTTGCATAGTACGAAAACATTCCAATAATTCGCTGTAAAGACTTTGCATTATCAGGTGGGGGTAACTTGATGAGAGGAGCAAGTCTCTGAGGATCTGGTTTTAAAGAGCCATACGATATACGGTAACCTAAAAAATCTAAAGTCTTAGTTGAAAATACACACTTCTCTTCATTAAATGTAATTCCAGCATCAATGGCAGCTAATCTGAACTTAAGTAGATTTTCATCATGTTCTTTCTGACTATTACCGCATATTGTAATGTTATCAATGAAAGGAAAGCAGTCAGTTAGTTTATATTTTCTAACAAAGTCATCTATTTTGCGTTGAAAGCATGCAGATCCATTGGTAACTCCAAAAGGCATTCTAGTATATTGCCACAACTTATTGTCAGCTTCAAAAGCAGTATATGGTCGTTTTTTTTTTTGATAAAGGGATTTGGTAGTATGCTGAGCGAAGGTCGAGAGTACTATAAATTTTGTCTTTAGAAATTATATTCACAATCGTTTCAATCTTAGGTAGAGGATATGCATCTAATTGAGTATATTTATTAATAGTTTCAGAGTAATCAACAACCATGCCACGTTTCAGGCCTTGCGATGAATAAGAACTGCGCGACGCATAAGCACGACGCGATTTTTGACGTCATTAAATTCTTTTTATTTGCTTTTCATATTTATCGACATTAACTGCACCAATTTATTTAATTACCGCAAAACTACTTTAAATCGTTTATGTAGAAATGTTATTATTTAAAAATGTTTTGGAATGTTTCGTTTTTTAAAATGTAAAAACGTTTGTTTATTTTCTCGACGTTTGTCACGTTTTGTCTATACTAAACGAATAAAAAACATTATAACTTAAATTTAAAAAAGATTATAAAATATGCTAATATTTGATTTTTTTTTTCTTAAATATGTAATTTAAAGTTTTTCAAATAATTATTTTTTCTTTTTAAAAAGTCAGCGAGTAATAAACTGGAAATTTTAATATTGTACGATTAAAAACTGTGCAATAGCTAATATTTTTACAAGCGATTTTATTTAATATTTATTTATTTATTTTTATTTATTTTCATAAAGCGGTTGATAAGCACAATCACTCGTATTAATAAAAAACTTAAACGAACGTTTTGAATAGATTTTTAATGTTAACAAGGAATTTTATTTCTATTAAAATAAAATAAAATGTTAGAATAAAAATCTTATAGGTATAAAAGAAATATTTCAGCGAAAAAATTATTCTTAAAAATTATTCGAAAAACTATTGACGTTCTATTTTTCAGCAGCTGTTCTTGAGCACGCTTCGATGAGTTTCGGTAACTTTTAACATAAAAGCGATCGTTATTATTTAAGTAATTTTTTTGAGTTACTTTTTACAAAAATTTTAATAACTGTACTTTTTTATTGAATCAAGTAGAATACGTTTTGATATTTATCTTTTTTTTTTTTATTTGCCCTCACCAATTTTTAAAATGTTTCCTCGAAATCACTCTTAAATACTTTAAATACGTCTAACAGTTAATAAATATTTTTAAATCTATGGAATAGTTTTAAAACCTATCAAACCCCTGTAAAATAATTATTTAAGTTTAAAATCTAAAACTAAAAGAAAGTGTTTTTGTTCAATTTTATCGACAACGTTGCTATTGCTGAATAATTTTATTAAAATGTTAGCTTAAAAGATTTAAACTTTTTTTTTAATTTTTGAATTTTTTCTACTTGTAAATAATGAGCATATTTAATTTTTTTAAATTCAAACTTTTATTTCAACTGCGTGTGGTTTTTAAAATACTTTATTAAATGTTAAAATAATCGTAAATTACTTCATTAAAATTCCGCTCAAAAATATCTTTCAATATACTCAAACAAAAAAAATTTTGCTCGACGCAAATAGCCCTAGCTACACGCAAAATCGCCCTTGGACGACGTAAAATTCACATCGCCCGACGCTTTATCGCAAGGCCTGCGTTTAGTCTTTTCATTTACTACTAAGACCTGGGCACGCCAAGGTGAATTACTAGGCTCTATTATTGCTGCTTGAGTCAGGCGATGGATTTCAAATTTAATAAATTCTTTATCTCTTTGAGAATAATTTCTAGATCTAGTGGCAATCGGTCGACAATCTTGCGTGAGATTAGCAAATAGTTCAGGAGGTTCAGTTTTCATTGTTATTAAAGCAGCAAATGTTATGGGTGGTCTTTTCCCACCATACTTGATGGTAATACTTTCATGCAACTCTTGAAAATCTGTGCCAAGAATAACATCTACACATAAGTTATCCAGCACATGCAACTTGACTTTGTTATAGATTTTGTTTTGAAGAGTTATTGAGACATAACAATATCCATCTGATTTTGCAGATAAGGCAGCTGATGCCATTCCAATTACAATCTGTTCATAAATAATATTTAAATGGAGTAGAGTCACTAGTTTGTTGCTTATAAAACTTTTGTTTGTACTTCCACTATCAATTAATGCTTCTGCTTTATATCTATCATTAATAATGATGTTATGACAAACTCTGAATAGAGAGTTTGCTGAAGCTGATATGGTGGCACAGAAGTAATCATCATCAATTTTAGGAATAGCAGCAGAAACATTAGATGATCTGCAAAGTTTTTCAAAATGACCAATCTTTTTACATTTGTGACAGATAGCTTCGCGAGCAGGACATTTAGTACGTGGATGTCTTATGTTTCCACAAAACTAGTACAATTGTTTTGATTTTGCTGTAGCAGCTAAGTGATTATCAGTCATGGACTGTTTTTGTAAATGTGATTTGATTTCCTGAATAGAGGCAGAGGTAGGTATAGTCAATTGTGAGTATAAGTTTGAGTTTTGTTGGGCCACGTCTAAAGATCTAGCTTGGTCAAAGGCTGATGAAAGGTCTAATATTTTGTTTTCTAGTAAACGTTGGCGTATACTATTGGAGAGTAAGCCATTTATAAACGCATCGCGAATCATTTCAGATTTATATTGCTCAGCTGTAACAGCAGTGAACTTACAGTCCTTAGATAAATTTTTAAGTTCATTGAGGAATTGATCTATTGTTTCACTTGGTTTTTGCTTCCGTGTTGACAAAATGTGTCTGGCAAATATTTCATTCTTTGGTTTTATGTAGATAGACTCGAGAATACTTTTATATATATTCATAAATTTACCCATATATACATGCCTAAACACATATTATTAAAATAAATAAATATATATATATATATATATATATATATATATATATATATATATATATATATATATATATATATATATATATATATATATATATATATATATATATATATATATATATATATATTATTGAAAAAATATGATAAATAATAAATCTTAGAATTTAATATACAACACCAACTCCATAATTAGGACTAGCTACTTTACCTGATAAAATTAGAAGTTCTTTAAAAAAATGGAAAGAAAGTTACTTATCCAAACATGTTTTTATACAAAAAAAAACATAATAATGCATACTTTCATTATTAGTGGAAAATTTAATGCTGAAGTATTTTTTTGATAATTAGGGTGAGGTGTTCAAAGTTTTTCAAATAAATTAAAAATTTAGTCTGTTGACAGACTTAATTTAGTCTGACTTATTATGTTTTATTAATTTTGATAATATTTTATACATCTGAGTATTATTAAAACAGAGTATCATTTCTAACTAAGAAATAACATATTTAAAAAAGTTAAACATTTTATTATAATGGTCAACTTAAGATAAATATAAAATCGATAAAAACAACCTGAATAAATCGAATTTACCCTAAGATTTTTGTATATTATATACAACTTGAAATAAAATCTAAAGTTTTTAAATTATTCGCAATAAAAATAGGTTATAAAATATAGCTTTATTAAAATATTTTTTAAACCATATGCATGCATTCTATTAGGTTTTCCTTGCCTTTCAATTACGGCAAATTATTTTTGTAATGGCTAGTTATTGAGACAATAATTTTCAATGTGTCACTTCCTCAACGTTGTTAAAGCAACGTTGGCAAAGTAACACTGTTTCAACGTTTTATAATTACCACATTTTCAACGTTGGTATATGTAACGTTGAATAAGTGTTGTTTAAAAATAGCTTAAATACGTTAAAAAAGCAGCTAATGTCTAACGTTGATTAACCATAAACTTTGCATGATTATTTGCGTACTTTTATTCAACGTAGAATAAACGCGATTTTTTGTGAAGATAACATACGTGACTGTAAAGCTTTTTCTACGCTGTGACTGGTTTTCAACGTTGATTCAACGCTGACATGTTTGCTGGGTGGTTTCACTCATAGCAATTTACTTCCATAATCTCTTAATAGACGTTTGAAACAGAATCTTTTCAGCTTATATATAACTTCTGCCCAAAAGTATTAGGCTAAAACTTCAAACTCGTAGATAATAAATTCACCGAATATTTGTAAACAAAATAAAACTACAAACTTCGTAAATTTAAAAAAAATAATAAACCAATCAAAACACACACAAAATGAAACGGCATTTTTTGAAAACGAAAAGGCCTAAACGCTATATTTTTCTTCGGATCTCTCCTTAACTACGCTGAGTAAAGCGTTGAGACAACGTCGTATTTTTCAACGTTACTATATCAACAGTAAATCAACGTGGAAACGACGTTGAATGTTCCGATGTTAAAAATATGAACCTTGCTTAAACGTTGATACAACGTCGTTTGCTTGTTGGGAAGATATGGTGTTTCAATAAATTTATCAAGACAAATACAAATTTTAAAGCAATTTTAAAACATTATAGCGTCTGTAGGATATTTTGTTGGCTGCGACATGTTTCCGTTAAATGATCAGGTCAGTGAATTATGAAATGACAAAAAAAAATTAAAATCATAAACTCTGCGGTATCATAAAATATAAATGTTCATAGCCAAAAAGACCGAAGAAAAATCACAACCGCTTGACCAAATTTTAATACGATTTTAATACGATTTTAAATAAATACGTTTTTTAGGCGAAACGAACATTATATTTTAACAAAATGATCTGTTCTGATCGTTTTTTGGCAATTTTTGTTAGTTATATGCTTTCTTGGTCAGAATTTTAGTTTTTTTTGTAAGAATTGATAGAAATATTGTGTTATGACAACTATATTTAGTTAATATACGTCAGAACCGATTAGAGCTAGGATCAGTAGTAAATTAAGAAACTTTTTCAAAAGATTTTAACTAAATTCATGTTAACGCCAATGACCAGAATTGATCAAAAGACTCCAAAATCGTGTTCTTTAGATTCACTATTACGGGTAGCAAAAAGGTTTTGAAAATTATATTAAAAAAAAAAGAAAAGTTTTATTAAATATTAAAAAAAACCTAAATAAAAAAAAACTACATCTAAATCTCTTGTTTGGATATAATACGCTGATAAAATCATGCTAATTCCAAATAAAAGAATTCGAATAATTAGTAAACTACCTTCACTACACCGAGTTGCTATATTATAAAATAGTTCATCAATTTAGAGGTTTTGGGAAGCACGGAGGGGGTTTGTGTCTTTTTATATGTAATATTTTAGTATTTAAACTTTACAGAGATCGCACACTACGTTTAAATATCTCAATAAAACAATTCAAAAACTATGTTAAAAACTTAAAGCGTTTATTTTGCAGTTGATTTTAACCTTGAAATGAATATGAGTCAATTAAATACAAAAAAAAAATTCTTAACCACATTTACAGAACGGCTTTATTCCATTGATTTATAAAGCCACAAGAATAACTAGAGAAAGCGCAACAGTCAAATAGATCAAACAATCCCCAACGAATCTACATCAAAAATAAAAATAAATATTTAAATGCGACATTTCCGATCACTTTCCTGTATTTTTTGTCTCACAAAAATGCTATAATATCTATAGACACAAAATTTCAAAAATTACGCGACAAATAATAATAAAATCCATTGAAATTATTAATACTCTTTTTTAAGGCTTAAACTAGCATGTCTCTGATATTGTACACACAAATAATAAAATAACAATAAGTTTCTTAATTATTTTAAGCAAATTTACATTACTGCATTTCATGAGGTTACAAAATGTGCGAAAAAGACAAATAAATCTATAGATAACGCCGCGAATAATAATGTCATCAAAAAAAAAGCAACGACTGCATAATAAAATTTTAAATAAAAAAGACTTATAATAATGAAACAAATAACAAATATTATTAATAAATCTTCTAAATGATTATTAATAAATCAAAGAGATATTATTAGGGGAGAGTGGTCTAAAACGGGCCCCTAAGCTGAGATGGTCCATCATATCTCTTGCTTGGACAGTAATGATTATAATTTTAACTGTATAATATTGTGCATTAGGCTATAAATATTTTAGAAAACCATCCAAAAAGTAGTTTTTTTCATTGCTATTTTTTGGGAAAAAGAATATTTGAAAGTAGAACTTTTGAAATTTTTTTTAGCTAAATACTTTTTACTGTAATCGTAAAAAACATTTATGTTTATTGCGTTATTTTGATACTTTCTAAAGCTTTAACATGTTATCTTTTTATTAGCACAAGGTTTTTATGAGAATAGTCTAACAACTTATGTTTTTCACTAAAAATTAATAACACACTCCAAACCAGTCGAAATGGCCCCGGGCCCATTTCACCCGTGCAATTAGCAAGATTTTACGGCAAAATAGTTCAGCTTAGTGTTCGGTTATACTAGTATCGTTTGGTACCCTTACCGATACAAATAGTATCATTTGGTATAGCAGCTCGGGTCTTAACAAGAACTTGTACTTTTTATGACTAAACTAAATTAAGTTATTAGTAAATATTAGTAAATAATTAGTAATTTGAAATAGCAAATTTATTTAATAGCTGAGATGTATATTTTTATGAAGCGATTAAAATAAAAAAAAAAGTTTTCGAAAATAAATATTTCTAACGAGCAAATCGATGAATATTAGTTATAACTGTAAAGTAAAAAAAAAAAAAATATATTTAGATAAGTTCTTGAGGTTTCTTTAAGAATTTCAAAAGCTCTTGTCCTCTCAGAAATCAGAATATTATGCTAAATGAGAATAATAAGCTGATCCTAAAAATAATCTTGATTTTTTTCAAAAAATAAAGTCATAAAAGACAAAGTTATTTTTTGTGTGCTAGAAACCCCCTGGTCATCATCTAAAAGAGCATTTTCTGCTTCTGGCCTTGTCATTAATAATCCTAAATACAATCTTGACTATGACAAGAGAGATATACTTTTCTTTTTAATGCAAAACTATTCCGCTCTTTAGAATTATGTCAAAAAATGGCCCATGGAAAGTAAAAGTGATATAGAATATTAGGCAGACTTATTTTTGCCAATATTAATAAAGAATATCAAAAAAAGTACAACAAATGAAAAAACAACGAATGGAAGATAGCCAAAGTCTTCTAGATGGTTGAAAAAAATAATTAATTAAACCCCTATATAGCAATCTTACTTGCATTTTGTAGATAAAAAATTTAAAAAGTAACATTTTTTTTTTTTTTTCTTTTCAAGACTATGCGACCATTCAATATCGTAGGGTTCTTTTTATTATTGATCTCGTGCATTATCGAACCGATATTAATTGTATCAACATTAGTATATGAGCTATATGTTTTTAATTTATTTGTTATTTAGGTGCCCCAAGAAGTCTTAACGGTCTTATCTCAGAGCACTGCGGAAGTTCATTTAACCAGGAAGTTCACGCATCCTTCCTTACCGTAACGCAAAATATGTCCAAAGCTCGTTTCGAACCTGAATCTCTGAAAGCTCGTTTCAAACCTGGCTTATAAAGTAAGCGCTCTAACCACTGCGCCACGACCACAAAGTCCACCACGGCCGTACAATATCACACGATACGAGACGATCCTTTTAGATATCGACTTACACGATATTAATTATCTAGTATCTACATTTATTATTAGATTATTAATATCTTGAAAAGATATTAATAATCTTTTTATGAAGTTTCTAAGTGGGTGATTCAAATACTAATTTCTTATCAAATGAAATGTCTGTTTTGTAATTTAGCGTGTATTGTCTGTTTAATCAATTTTAGACTTTAAATCAAAACTAAAACATCGTTTTAATGTTTAATGATCTTAAACTTTTGAGATTATTAAACAATTTAAGAAAAAGTAAATAACGAATTATGTTAA